AGGGGCAGGGACCGCAACAGCCTGAGAAAGGCAGGAAGCAAACGCAGCATGCGTCCGAGAGTCCGCAACCTGCGGGCATCGCAAGCGTCCCTGCAGCCAGAGCGCAATTGGCAGGAGCTCCGGCGACACCTGTCGCAGCCAGTCCTGTCGCATAAGTTCCAACGGGTGCAGCTGCAGGAGCTGGAACAATTGCTCCACGCTGACCTAGAAGCTGCACGGGGGCCAGGAGCGGGCGAAGCAGGGGCCGAATCAAAAAACCCTGCTCGCCAGGCGGCAGATCGTCTCAGCAGGTGGTTGTACTTCCTGCACCAGTCCTCTGCCTTGTTGGCGTCTTCGTCGCTTGCTAAGGACAGAGGCGGCGTGGAAAACATCAGCCACTTCACGAAAGTGCCCGTGCTAAGCGATGTCTTGGAACCTGCGCAGCAACAGTGAAGCAGCGCTGAAATCACGAAGATAGACCATGTGCTGCAGCGACGAGCTAGACCATAGCACTTATTAGGAACAGGGAATCTCTGGCAGGAACCTTTGCCGATCTGAATGTCGTCAACGACGGCCAGCTCGAGCACCACTTCCGAAAGAAGCCACCGTCGAACCATATAGCTAGCGGCGTGCAAGGCGCAGACGTGCAAGATGGTCGCTCTGCCTGTTTGCAGACCCACGATCCTGGACAGCAGCCCCGCGCCAACCTGGCCGGGAGCAACAGAGGCTGGAGGTCACTGGCCTGGCGGCCTGTACATGAGGCGTAAGAAGGCAACTTGCGATTTCCCCTTGCTCGTCTTCTTCGCAGATTGCTGCTGCTGGCGCTGTTGTTGCTGCGGCCATCCTTGCCGCAGGCACAGCTGTTTTCTGTACGACCGCACGGCCTTGGCAGAACGGAAGACGGGAAGTTCGGCTGCCACTAGACGCGCGTTCAGGTTCCGGAAAGCGCTGTCGCTGCAAGGACGGCCTGGCGGAAGGACCTGCCGAAGGCAGACTGCGCCGACAGCTGCGGATAGAGCGTGGGCCCTTTCAGTGTACGACCCGCCAGAGTTGGTGCTACATTCACACATATAAAACCCAGCAACATGCTAGGCAAGATCTCAGGCTTGTCTTCTCCATAGGCAGGAAAGGCAACTTCACCTCCTAAAGCACAACACACCGGATAGCACGTGCGTTTCTTCAACGCCGAAACCTTAGGACGGTTATGACCCGAACCCTCAAAGTCGGGAAAC